CAGGATTTCTTTGCTGTGTCTGAGTGGCTCAATCCTGAGGGGAACCACCACTCCCAGTCCTGGTGTCACCCACCACCTTGTGCTGTTTGCTCAGGGAGGTTTGACAGCTCAAATCCTGGGTCTAGACCTTGTATGTGTGTGGTAAACCCCCCCTGACCTCCTTGTTGGAGTAGTGTTAGACCCTTTGCCATATCAATTCCTGTTTGGAAAGCAGATTTGCTGAGTGGCTCAATCCTGAGGGGAACCACCACTCCCAGTCCTGGTGTCACCCACCACCTTGTGCTGTTTGCTCAGGGAGGTTTGACAGCTCAAATCCTGGGTCTAGACCTTGTATGTGTGTGGTAAACCCCCCCTGACCTCCTTGTTGGAGTAGTGTTAGACCCTTTGCCATATCAATTCCTGTTTGGAAAGCAGATTTGGCTTGGGAGAGGGTGGGAATTGCCAGAAGGAGGAGCAGACAGAGAAAAGCAATGATTTTTAACTCTTTATTTATAGTTTCTGAGGCAAATGAGTTCCTCGTGTGCCTTGATGTTAGCTGTGGTTGTCCTTTCAAGGGGAAGGAAATGCTCCCAAACAGGTCACGATGACCATGAGAGGACCTCAACCTCCACAGATTCATGGCAAGAGGAATATCAGCCTGAAGCACAAGCTCCCAGTGAGTTTTGGGGAGCAGAATTGCTGGAAGAAGCTGTTCAGGGTGACCTGAAAGCCTCTGTCACTGCACATCACCCAGCCCTGGGGTTTGCAGCTTGTTAATCAGCCTCTAATAGAAAACAGTCAAAGCTGGATAAACCCAGACAGTGATCAGAGCCAGGAAAGGGCAATTGTAAAGCTAATCCCTCCTGGCTTTGCAAACCAGAAAGGAAACCATTTTAAAGGGGCTGTAAAAATGCTTGCAGGGCTGGGAGATGTTTCCCACAAGTGGTTCGTGGTCACTCATTGAGGAAGAACGTTGCTGGGATCTGCTCCTCGTGGATAATGCCTTGAAAATCCTTCGGGCCAAATGATTCCACTCTTGAGGAATAAGCAGCATCTTTGGAAGTGAAGTTGCTGTAGAGATTATGACATAAATACATAATTACAGTTGGGTTTGAAGACAACAAACAGAAACATCCTAACTCAGTGTGCTCCTGGAGTCTCCTTAAGCATTTCATTTGGGAGACTCCAAGCTCTTCAAAGTGGCAGTTAGGAAAAGCTCCTGTCCCTTCAGCAGATGATGCCTGATTAGTTGGGAAGAGGACCAAATCCCTAAGAGCTAAACAGCTTTTCTGGAGGGTTGGGATAAATACAGCAGAGCTCCAACAGCCTGAGAGAACCCCCAGGAAAAGGGAGAAGAGCTAACACGGAGCTTTGTTGGCTGGGCTGGAGCAGGCCGTGCCATGAACTAGATGGACCTTAAGGTCTCTTCCAACCCAACCCATTCTGTGATCATTCTATGACCTTTGGCTTGGAGCTCTATCTCATGAAGATGCGAAGAGAAGTACTTGGACATGGTTATCAAATGAGACAGTGAAAACACTTCCATCTTCATGGGGGTTTTGTAGAGAAGGACGTGGTTAATCAAGTGCTGAAGCATCTCTGGAGATCATACAAAGCTATGGAGGAGGAAAGTGAGGAATGCTGGTGGTCTCTGAGGTTCATATACCTCCACAGCTTTACTAGTCAACCATGGGACAAAGTCTCACTTACAGCAAGGAGCTTTTTTTTCTGTCTGACAGTGGGAGAAGCTTTAAAATGGGTTCATGAGTGGGAAATGCTTCTAAAGAAACTTTATGCCTACTGTAAAAGTGTCCTGAGGGGATGGAAGGCTGACTGAGCAACTGGCCCAGCAGTGTCCTGTGAGACATGAAGAGAGGAGATTTAGGCTGGATGTACAGAAGGAATTCCTGGCTGTGAGGTGCTGAGGCTCTGGCACAGGGTGCCCAGAGCAGCTGTGGCTGCTCCATCCCTGGGAGTGTTCCAGGCCAGGTTGGATGGGGTTGGAGCAGCCTGGGCTGGTGGGAGGTGTCCCTGCCCAGGGCAGGGGTGGGATGGGATGAGATTTAAGGTCCTTCCAGCCCAAATCATCTGGGATTCCATGCAAGGACTGTCTGAGCCATGGGAGCCGATTGAGATCCAAGTGTCCTGTAGAGCCCACGGCAGTGGATGTGGTGCTGGAGGCAGATGAAGCAGGACAAACACTGTTGGTGTCACTTTGGCCAGAGAGGAACTGGCAATGAAAAACTTTACACTGACAGAGCTGTTTTCCAGATGACAAAGGAAATGCCAATTCCAGAGCTGTGTTTGTGCCTGGAAAAAGGATCTGGTCGTAAAAGAGGACAGACATGTCTGCTCTGTCTCTCCAGAGCTCTCCCCCAGGCTCAGGGCCCACAGAGCAAACTTCTGGGCTCATTTTTTCCTGCTGTCCATGATGAATTGCTTTTTTTCCCCAGCAAGATAATAACAGGAAGAAGTTGTGATGTTCAGACAGGCTCTTCTGGTAACTGGGCAGGAGTGTCCTGTTCACTCTGGAATCACTTTGGGATAATGGAGTCCAAATTGCATCCTGACCTAATAAAAGGAGGTGTCAGATAACTGGGAAGCTTCAGGAGGAAATTGGTATGAGATCTTTCCTCCAGGGAAAGGGGCAGAATAAGCTTCAAATCCTTCCAAGATACAAATAGTATCAGGATTTTGGGTAATGCTCTTAGCAGGTTTGGCCAGAGCAAACTCCTCGTGGAACAACTCATGTTTCACAGCATCTTTGGTGGGATCCATTTCCAGCTGGACATGCCACTGGAAGAGCAAGGAGAAATCAAGGAGCTCTCAGAGTACAAACTCTGCAAACCTTGTGTTTGTTACCAAAGCTGTGACTCAGGATGGCGGTGATTGGCTGGAGTTCTGGTGTTCTCCTGGACAAGGTGTTGGGAAGGTGTGGAACGAGTCTCCAAGGCAGGCAGGGAGTTCCTGGCACTGGGATGGGGAATTGGACACTGTGTCTCTGACAGGAAGCAGGTGAAGGTCATGAGATGTTTCTCGTGGGTCAAACCCACCATAGGCAATGTACCTTCATCCCTGCCCTGAGGCTGATCACACACCAGCCTTAGTGGAGAGGAGAGGCATGTGGTGGTTCCTGGGCTTTTCCAGTGGGATAGGGATAGACATCTGGTCCATAATTTCCCTGGTGGGTGGAATGCTGGCCTTGGTGGCACTTGCTGGCTCAGTTCCTGGTGAGACACACCTGGAGTGCTGCATCAGCTCTGGGTCCTCAGCACAGGAAGGACATGGAGCTGTTGGAGCAAGTCCAGAGGAGGCCACAGAGATGATTAGAGGGCTGGAGCAGCTCTCATAGGAGGAAAGGCTGGGAGAATTGGGATTGTTCAGCCTGGAGGAGAGAAGCTCCAGGGAGACCTTAGAACCCCTTCCAGTGCCTCAAGGGGCTCCAAGAGAGCTGAGAGGGACTTGGGACAAGGGATGGAGGGACAGGGCAAAGGGGAATGGTTCCCATTGCCAGAGGGCAGGGACAGATGGGAGATTGGGAAGGGATACCTGGCTGTGAGGTGCTGAGACACTGGCACAGGTTGCCCAGAGCAGCTGTGGCTGCTCCATCCCTGGGAGTGTTCCAGGCCAGGCTGGATGGGGCTGGGAGCAAGATTCAGAATTATCACTGAATATTGATGTGGTTTTTATGCATCCCATAGAAACATCACATTTCAGACTCTCAGGATCCATGTAAATCCATTCTATTTGTATGTGCATACATTATTTACTTGGGAATATAAGGCATGGACATGGAAAAGGATATCAGCAATGTGTGTGGTTAAATCTCTATGAGACTGCACATGTCTTATATAGAGAGTAAATGAAGATGTTCTAAAGCGACTGATGGTTGTTCTTGTCTCCTTTGCAGGAAAGATTCCAAGTGAAGAACCCTCCACACACATATATCCAGAAGCTGAAGGGATATCTGGACCCTGCAGTGACCAGGAAGGTGAGGAGCATCCTGTTTCCTCTTCCCTGTCCCTCACTCTCACAGAAGATGGTCCCTGGCTCCATGTTCCTTCCTGCCTTTGTGTCAGTGCCCTGGGAAGAGTCTCAAAGCTGGAACAAAGTGCAGAGAGAAGAGGAATGGGGAGTTTGCTGCAGCTCTCACAGCTCAGGGAGGAAAGCAGATGTTGGAAGGCAGAGGACCATGTGACACAGAGCACAGCTCGTTGGAATAGCATGAATGGGCTGACAAACTGTCCCTGAGCTGTGCTCTGGCTCTGCCTCTCGTGAGCAGGGAGTGCAGCCACTGTTCTCCCCCTTGGGAAGGAGGTGGTAAAGCTCCAAGTCCTTTTCCCTGGGTGTTTGCTTGAGTTTCAGTGCAGCTGGCACAGTACACCCCATGTGGGGTGTGTGTTTTCATGGCACAGCCTCCTCCAGTTCCTCTTGCCCATGGAAATCACTCAGGAAAGACCTGAGCACCTCCCTTGGCCTTTCACATGAACCTTGTGCACCTCTGAGTGTGTCTTCTGGCCCAGGGTGTGTTTGGGGCTGGTTCTGATGTCCAAGTCCCACTCTGAGGGGCTTAGCATGGAATCATAGACTCCTAGACTGGTTTGGGTTCAAAGGACCTTAAAGCTCATGCTGTTCTCCTCCTGCCCTGGGCAGGGACACCTCCCACCAGCCCAGGCTGCTCCAACCCCATCCAGCCTGGCCTGGAACACTCCCAGGGATGGAGCAGCCACAGCTGCTCTGGGCAACCTGTGCCAGTGTCTCAGCACCTCACAGCCAGGAATTCCTCCCCAATATCCATCTGTCCCTGCCCTCTGGCAGTGGGAACCATTCCCTGTGTCCTGTCCCTCCATCCCTTGTCCCAAGTCCCAATCTAACCCTTCCCTTAGCATTCTTCATCCACTTTGGCTCTCATTTACCTTGTCCAAATTTACCATTTCCCCAGCTGGTTTGACACATTCCCCTGGGCAGGAGAGGAGATGACAACCTTCTCCAGGTGGGAGAGGAGGTGACGTCTCTGTGTCCCTCTGCACACCCAAGGCCTCCCTGGTGCAACCTGATTTTGCTGCTCAGTCCTCAGTGAAGCCTTTTCTCCTAACCCAGAGCTTGTTTTATAAAGACATGTTTATTTATCTCCAGGCTTTTAATTTGCCTCGTCCTGGCAACTCCCAGCTGTTCCTGGGAACAGAAGTGATTCTCTGCACATGTTTTTGTTGACTGCTGGACTATTGTTGCAGCATTCCTGGGGATTTGGAGGAGTTCTCATCTTACCTTCATGTTTTCTTTATTCATTCTGTGCTGTGTGTGATGTTGATACTGTTTAATAGCATCACATGAGTCTAATTGTTATCTTTGCTGCTGATTCCACCATAGAAATTCAGGAGACGAGTCCAAGAGTCAACTCAAGTCCTCAGAGAACTGGAAATTTCCTTAAGAACAAACCACATTGGGTAAGAATTTCTGATGCCTCAGGGGCTGAGGTTTATTTTTACACATCTACTGATGGAACTCTTTGCATGTCGAGCAGTGATACCACTTGATTGATGGGTAAAGCCTGATGGGCTGAGTTGAAGGGAGCTGAGCATCTCAGGAGGAGAATTTGTCTTTAATCTTTTCTTCACAGGTTCCCCCACATCTCTCTGCAGGCTCAGCAAACACTGCAGTCAACTCCTGCTTGGCCTCAGCCACTCAGAGCAGAGTGAGGGTGGCTGTGTCTGGAATAATAACAGTGCTGCAGCTATAAGTTCATCTGTAAACCCACCCCGTGCTGGTTTACAGCCTTAGCATGGTGCAGTGTGTGAAGCCTGGCAGGAGCGGGACCAGGAGTTCACTTCCACACAGCAGAACATTCCTCTCACACAGCCAAAGGGAAAAGAGCTGCCAGAGATTTAGGGTTTTATCAAACAGTCCCATCCATGTTTGCAGTGGTCTCACCTCTCTGTGTTGGGTCTCAGCACCAGGAGCTGCTTGTGCATCAGCCAAGGAGGTTTCTTTGGCACTTCGCGTCATGGTCGCACACTGTGCCCAGCTCATGGATTTTGCAGGATGCAAAACACTGTGGTGTTGAGGACATGAAGGTGTTTTCAGCTGCGGGAGGAGGAACTGTTATCTTTCTCTTCCTGTGGTGGTGGTTGTTTGCTCCTGGGACCCTCCTGTGATCCTCCTGTGAGCTGCACCTTCACACAACCTGCCACACCTCTGGCCTGGCTCCTGCTGTGTTTCCCCTCATTTTCTAACACCAAGAATTTCCCCTCATTTTCCACCTGCAAGGGCATCTGAGCACGATGCTCTGTGTGTTTGGGATGGCTCAGGGATGCCCAGAAGGAACCACAGATCAATCCAAGAGGCTGCCAGGAGCAATGTGGCTCGATTTGGTTCTCCTGCCTCAAGGATGTGTTTCAAAATGCATTTTATGACATGCCAGGCAGGTAAACAGGGAAGGATTTAAAGGCTGATGATGCTCAGAGGTGATGAATTCTGGGGAAAGCAGAGGATCCAGAGCTGCATGAGTGAACCTGGAGCTTCACTTCCCTCCCAGAATCCCACTCTGGGAGAGTCTGGCCTCCCTGGTTGGGGTTCAGAGGAGACCTGGGCCTGTGCTGAGGCTCCTGGCTCACTTAGCTTTACCCCCAGGTGGGTTAAAATGATTGAGCTTCAAACTTCACTTGGCATTTTCAACAGCTAACAGGCGTTTCTGAGTTACTTGGCTGAACTCAGGGTAGAATTCCCTGGAGCAGGTTAGCTCTTAGAAAGAGAAGGCAAATTGCTGTTAAATGGACATCCAGGAGGTCTGTCAGGTTGTTCTCGTGTCTCTGTGCTTTTACACACTGCTGGAGTCAGGGTGTGATCCATCCCTACGTGTGTCAGGAGGTGAGCAGCACAGTGCTGCAAACCCTTCTTCTCCAAGGCCATCTAAGGGCTGCTCTAAACTCCTCTGAAGAGTAAAAGGCATTTTTAAGTCTCTTTTTGCAGAGTGAGAAGCAAAGTTCAGCTCGGCAGTGCTGCCTGTCCTACTCTGGGGCTGCCTCCAGCCTAGCTGAGGGTTCCAGTGACCTCCTGAAACACTCTGATGTTCCTCCCACAGGTGGGTCAGGGAGTTCCTGAACGAGGAGAACAAAGGGCTGGATGTGCTGGTGGAGTACCTGTCCTTTGCACAGTATGCAGTCACGTGAGTAAGGCATCCCTGGCCCTCTCTGGGCTGGCAGGGTCTCTGCAGAGCACGGATCTGCACAGGGAAGAGAAGGAAATGCCAAGGCAGATCCTGTACCAGAGCTTTCCTGCTAGGAGTTTGCTAAATATACAATAGCATTAGATATTAGGGAGTATTCTTCACTGAAAGGGTGGTTAAGCTTTGGGAGAAGCTGCCCAGGGCAGTGGTGGAGTCACCATCCCTGGAAGGGCTCAAAGCTGAGTGGATATGGCACCTGGAGACATGGTTTAGTGAGCATGGAGGTGTTTGGGCAAAGATTGGGCATGATGGTCTTGAAGGTCTTTTCCAGCCTTAATGATTCTATGTAGCTTAGAGCAGAGAAAATCGTAATGTGAGTCCAAAATTGTTTCATCACAGAGAGGGAAATTTAGGTTAGGTCTTCGGCAGAAATTTTCCCTGTTCTGGTGGTGAGACCCTGTCCCAGGGTGCCCAGGGAGGCTGTGGCTGCCCCAACCCTGGCAGTGTTCACAGCCAGGTTGGATGAGCCTTGAGCAACCTGCTCTGGTGGGAGTTGTCCCTGCCCAGGGCAGGGGTTGGGGCTGGATCATCTCTGAGCTCCATCCCAACCCCTAAAATTCTATGATTCCATGTGCTCTGAAAACAAAGTGGGGAAAATCAGCTTTCAGCAGTTGTTATATCCCAGAATCTGAAATAGATTTTCAGCTGAGAATGTGTTTAATTAGCACAGATTCATCCCAGAATGGTTTGGTTGAAGGGACCCTTAAAGCCCATCCCATTCCACCCCTTGCCGTGGACAGGGACACCAGCCCAGGCTGCTCCAAGCTTTCCTTGAACACCTCCAGGGATGAGGTATTACATCCACATTCAGTCAGCATATTGCAGCAGTAGATTTTTGTACATAAATGCACAAAAAGAAGCCTTAGGTGAAAGCTAAAGGCTGTTGTAGGAAGGAGCTCAGACTGGGTAGAGCTGATTCTTCGCTGTCATGTACATCACTGCACAGCAAAGAGGTTTTACGTGTGGCTGCAGGAAAATTAATGAAGGGAAATTACAGGGTTTGGAATGTTCCTAAGTGGAAAAAAACTGTGCAGAGCAAAAAGAAGTGTTTACAGAGAGTCTTTCTTCCCAAATCAGTGCACATAGACATAAGGAGCTTGCTGGGTTTTTCCCTCTCTCCTGTGGTAAACATGAGTAATAACCTCAAGGGCTGTAAAGGGAACAAGAATTCC